CTGGTTCCTGCTTGTTCTGAACCCAATAGATAAATGTATTTACCATTGGAACTCCATAGACTATTCTCCGAATTTCCCAAGGAATTGCGAATTATGTTCGTAAGCCCATATTCTTGTAATTAGTTATTCTTTATTCTTGCGAATTGTTGTAGACTAATATAATATTTTATTTTCGTAGGCCTCGTTTTACAGCAAGGTGATTGAAAGAAGGTCTGGGTTGGAGATACAATCGGAAGCTAAATGGGTTCATGGATGCAGGCAGCAGGATGGGAACCTTGATTGCGGCTTGTTTGTCTGCATGTGGGCATATTGTCATGCTGTAGACAGTGAAGATATTTGGTTTAAGGCAAAAACTTGCGATATCAAAACACTTCGCCCAAAACTAGCAGCTATCTTTCGGAGGCATCGGGGAGTAGAAGTGGAAGCTAAATATGAAATAGATCTGGCGTTATTGTGAAAAAACTGGGAGTGGAAGTGGTTTGGGGTTTTTGTGTTTTTTTGTAATGAACAGGTGAATGTGTTTTTATGCCATAAACAATCTGTCCTTTTGTTGTAGAGCTAATAATACTATTGATTAGCTCTACTCGTACTTTTTCATTGTATACATTGTTCTATATGTTCCGATGAAATGTACTTGCCTTTTGAACACATGGTACTATAAGTACGGGAGATGCATAAATTATGTTTTAGATGATTATTTTAAGGTAGGTGAGCATTATTGTTGCGTTTGGAATACAAGATCCCATAAATATGTTGAATTTCATACATGATACTCATATACTATACAATATATTCATACAAGCCTACAATGCTCAAGTGTAAAACTAATATTTTCCTCAATTGTTACCATAATCGATATTGTTCAACTCCCACATTGTCTCCATTCATTCTTAATAGTCTTAAACTCAAGAGTTGTGTCTTCAAATGCGATCATATGGATGCATTGGCCCGACAATAATATATAGAGTGTAAAAATACTATATGAATGGCAAACATATACTTTATCAGTGAACAAATCGTACTATGGTCACGACTCACTTGTACTTTACCAGCTTATACATTGTACTTATTTGGTGAACAAAGCGTACCAC